GAGTGACACGGAGCGATGACACAGAGAGAGCACACACAGTGACACACACACAGTGACACACACGGAGTGGCACACACACACAGAGTGACACGGAACGACACACACACAGGGTCACACACAGGGACACACAGACAGTGACACACACACAGTGACACACACACAGAGTGACACACACACAGAGTGACACGGAGCGACACACACACAGGGACACACACAGGGACACACACGGAGTGGCACACACACACAGGGACACACACAGTGACACAGACACAGTGACACAGACACAGTGACACAGACAGTGACACACGCACAGCGGCACACACACAGACAGACACAGAGGGAGCGACATATGCCCCGAAGAAGGGACAAACACACACACACACACGGGGTGACACACGCACACACAAGAAATGACACCTGCGGAGCCACAGGCGCAGAGGCAGTCACGCACAGACACACAGCGAGTGACACGCTCACGGTGACATGGACACTCCCCGCGGTGTCACCAGCGCTGAGCAGCCCCTGGGCACGGCGGGCTGTGCGGTGCCAGGCTGTTGGCAGGCTGTGCACCATCTCCGGGCTGCGTGTGTGTGTGTGTGTGTGTGTGTGTGTGTGTGTGTGCGTGTGCCATCCACAGGTTCCACCTCCCGGGCTGTGCTTTTCCAGCTGTACATCCACAGGTTGTACCTCCTCCCGGGGCTGTGGATTCCAGCTGTACATCCACAGGTTGTACCTCCTCCCGGGGCTGTGGATTCCAGCTGTACATCCACAGGTGGCACCTCCCAGCTGTGCTTTTCCAGCTGTACATCCACAGGCTGTACCTCCCCGGGCTGTACATCCACAGGTTGCACCTCCCCGGGCTGTGCTTTTCAGCCGTGCATCCACAGGTTGTACCTCCTCCCGGGGCTGTTTATCCACAGCTCGTCCCTCCCTTTCCAGCCGTGCATCCCCATCCCGCACGCCCCCGTCCGCAGCGGGGCTCGCACAGGTCGCAGCCGCCGTGCCCGCCCCGGTGGTCGCGGTCCCCCGTGGGTCCCCCGCGGCTCCCAGAGGGCACGGCCGTGCCGGGCGTGCGGGACGTGCCCCGGGAGCCGCTTCCATGGGCGGCGCGGCTCGGGCGAGCTGGGACGCGCCCAGCCGGGATGTGCCGGAGCGGGATGCGCCGGGCCGGGACGCGCCGAGCCGGGATGTGCAGCAGCGGGACGCGCCGAACCGGGACGCGCCGGGCCGGGCTCTGCGGAACCGCGGGGGCCCCGTCGGGCCGGGGGATGCGCGGGAGGCTCCGGGACTACAAATCCCAGGGTGCCGCGGCCCGAGGGGGCGGGCGGGCGGCGCGGGGGGAGCGGCCGCGGGGTCCCCCCGCCCTGCTGATGTGTCCGGGCGCTGCGGGGGGAGCGCGGCCGGGGCTGACGCGTGTCCTGCCCCGCAGCGCTCCGGCGCCGGCAGCCGGCCATGGCCTCCAAGCTGCTGCGGGCCGTGGTGCTCGGCCCCCCCGGCTCGGGCAAGGGCACGGTGTGCGAGAGGATCGCCCGCAGCTTCGGGCTCCAGCACCTCTCCAGCGGGCAGTTCCTGCGGGAGAGCCTCGGCGGCGGCGGCGGTGAGTGCCCGCGGGGCCGCCCCGTCGGGACCGGGACCGGGAGCGGGAGCGGGGGGTCCCTGCCCGCGCATCTCCGGCGGGGCAGCGCTGGGACGGGGTGGGGATGAGGATGGAGGTGGGGGTGGGATGGAGACGGGCACGGATGGGGATCCCTGTCCGCGGCGGGAGCACCACAGGTTGTTTTCTTCCCGTGCATTTGGCACGGCTCATTCATCGCCTGCTCCCTCCCGCCGGAGCTCGCCGAGCCGCTCGGGAAAAGCGGGATCGGGAGCCGCGGGTGCCGTGGATGTGCGATGGTTTTATTGTCGCTGTGCTGGGGGATCGCGGCTCCGGTGAGGGCGGTGTGAAGACCCCGCCGGGGCGATCGGCCGGCGCTGTCCGGGGACTCGGGGCTTGTGCTGTTCTTATGAATAACTCCATCCTGCCCAGGGGATGCACGGCAGATGGCTGGAATGCTGCGGCATTCCCACGGCGGCACGGATGGATTGGGAAGGAGCGTTTGTCCGGAGGGAGAACCTGCCGGGAATGTCGCCGCAGGTCACCGGCTGCCCTGGCCGGCTCCCAGGAGCGGGCAGCGGCAGGACATGGGTGTCAGCACCCACCTCGCACGGGCACCCCTGCACACCCGGCTCCTAGAGCAGTGCTGCCTGTCCCGTGTCCGGCATCCAAATCCAAACCCCCGGAGCCGGGATGGGCTGTACCTGTGTCCCTCGGGCGGTGAGGGGCTCCTGGCCCGGGCTCGGCTCGGGAGCGGCCGTGCTGAGCCCCAGCTCCGCGGGATTGGGCAATCCCGGCGCGGTTCTTTTCCCAACACTTCCTTCTGTCCTCTGCTAATGTGTGAAACACCGAGCCGGGGGGAAGCTGACTCACCGGGCAGGGGAACGGTGAGACGGCCTCGGCGCCAAACAAGCCGAGAGGTTTAGAAGTGATTTCTATTTTAGAAGGATGGCAAAAACAGGGAGGAAAATTAGGGAGGGTAAAGTTTTGGAGAGGTGCGTGGTCCGACAAGGGTGTTGCGCACAGCTCTGCTGTGCTGGTCACTCATGTAAAAATACCCAGATTTCCTTTTGTAAATAAAAAGGACAATAATGTTTTCTTTAGAGGGAGGCTCAAAATTTGGAAAATCTCGATGAGGGCTTTGGCTGAAGGACAGAAAGCTGGGCTGAAAAGCAAGCAGAGGTGCAGCGTGCGGAGAGGGGCAGCACGGTGCCCACCCGGGAACTGCCACAGCCAAGCTCTGAACCACCAACTGTCCCAAACTTCACTTTTCAGTCCATGCTCTTGCCACAGAGCTCCTCTGGGGACACTGAGAAGCAAGAAGAGTTAGCTGAAGGTGTCTTGGGTACATTCAGAAGGAAACAACAAGGAGAAACGCAGGGAAAATTACTCAGAAGGAAACCAGCCGTGGTTTGGTTCATCTGGCATGACATTCGGGTCCCACCTTTGACTCAGCCTCTGTAACAGCTCTCAGTGAGCTCCAGTTATTTGGTTTTTTTAGTTTTTGTTTTTGTTTTTTCTGCTATTTGCTTTGGACAAGCTGTTACATGACTGTGCTCCGGGGGAAACGAGGTGGAAGCAGCTCCTCTTCCCAAGTTTATCAGCTGCGTCACCGGCTTTGTGCTTCAGGGGAGCTGGGGCTCTGCAGAACCAACAGACTCATTACAGGCTCATCATCCCAAAGGCAACTGTGGATCCTGTGTTTTTACAGGGATCTTGGCCTGATGTGTCAGTGCTCCAGGGATTTTCCTGCTGGCCACTGCCAGGCATGAAGAGGCCACGGCTGAGGGCTCGGGGGCACGGGGGGCTCCTGCTGCTGGAGGAAGGTTGAGTTCCCAGCATGGAGAGCATTCCAGGCTGCTGCTGGAGCTGGTAGTGGCAGTATCAGGGAACAAAGACTCACTTTTGGAGCAGGTGGAGCAGCTGAATGCATGGCTGCTGCTAAAGGGCTCCGAGTTGTGCTCCAGAAACCCCCCGAGCACATCCGCCCCCAGCCGTGAGTCTCCTAATTAGTGCTTGTCAGCAAGTGGCTGCTCTGCTGTAGGAAAAGGCCTTTGTAACACCTTGGAAAACTTACAGGCTGTGTTTTGGTGCCAGGCAGGAGTGCTGGAGGGTGGTGAGCCATTTTTTTGGCCAGCACTTGCCCCAGAACCCAGGTGGTTGTCTCTGGTGTTGGCAGCATCCCCAGGTCTTAGCAGGACTCTGAAGTCCATTTGGCAAACAACTGAATTGTTTGTCCTGGCTTTGGCTGAGGGTCTGTGGGTCTTGTGTCTGTCCCACTGCTCCCTGTCAGGTGCTCTCTTGGAGCCAGAAGTGGCTCCTGTCCCCTCCTCGTGACAGATTTCCTCTGTGAGCATCCACCAAAGCACGCACAAAACAAAATTCCCTGGGGGATGGGGGCTGTACGTGGCCCGGCCTCACAGCCCCTCTCCACACCTTTCCCACGGATTTGCTGGCCACACTGGCCTGGTTGGTGGCCAAAGCTGAGCCCAGGGATGCAGCCTGGCAGCCCTCTGCTTTTCCATAGGTGCCTGCTGTATCCCTGTGCGTGAGGGCACTGCTCTGACCACAGGGATCTCTCACAGCCCTGGCTGTTGCCCTCCAGACAGAATTCACAGAATTCACAGAATCACTGGGTTGGAAGAGACCTCCAAGATCATGGAGTCCAACCCGGCCCCAGCACCCCAACCCAGCCCTGGCCCCCAGTGCCACATCCAGGCTTTGTTAAACACACCCAGGGATGGGGACTGCAGCACCTCCCCGGGCAGCCATTCCAGAACTTTATCACCCTGTCTGGAAAATACTTTTCCCTGATATCCAGCCTGAATTTCCCTTGGTGCAGCTGCAGGCTGTGTGCTCTGGTTGTGTCAGTGGTGCTGGAGAAAGAGCCCAGCCCCAGCTGAGCACAGGCACCTTTCAGACCCCACATCCATCCTGAAGCCCGAATTTGGGGCCACATCTGTCTCCTGCTCCCTAAAATGACTTCCTGATGCTGAGGGCAGCTGGATGCAGCCTCTGTGTCAGGAAAAAGGTCCCAAAACTGGGGTGACATCTGTTGTGGCTTAACTGTGGTGGTGCATTGGTGCCCTTTGCACCCCCAGGGTTCCTCCTCTCTGTTAGCTCCAGGCTGTGCTGCTGTAGCCTAAATAATGGGGAAAAAAAAAAATCCTGGAAAAAGTTTTGGATAGGGAGAAAGTCCAGGGTTGTGCTGCAGGCTCTGGAGGCTGCCCAGGGCTGTGTTTGGGAACAGCTTCTCCTCCAGCCTGTCCTGCCTGGCCCTGGGTGGCCTTGGGGCTGGGACATGTCCCTTACAAATACCACATCCCTTAAATACCCTTACAAATATAAAAAATACCATCTATACCTACAAAACAAAATCTATAATTACAACTAAATAACCTTTTAAAACCCCAGCTATTATGCATTCTTTTGTTATAAAAAATCACAATTAAAAAAACTTATTACCTCAATAAAAAACAAAACTAAAAAGAAATTTTTAATAAAATCCACAAGTACACTCACCGCTCTAAAACTAACTTTAAAAAACCCAATCCCATCTAAATAAACCAATAATCCCTAAAAAAAACCCCCTAAATAACAAAAAATTAATTAAAACATTACAAAAAAAACACATTAAACCAATAAAAAAATCCCTAAAATTCTCCAATATTTATCATTCATAAAAAAACCCCAATTCTTAAAAATTACTTCAAAATCTCAAAAATAATTAATAAAATAATTTGAAAAATAAAACCACCACGACCTAAACTCCCTTCTCTTTCAATAACCCCAAAAAATGCCCTGCTATTATCATCAGTTTTCCCTCGGGGCTGGGACACATCCCTTGGGGACAGATCAAGGTCACATGGGGGGAGCCACAGAGAGCTGGGAGTCCCGTGAGTTTCAGGGCAGATTAAACCCACAGCCACCAGATTAATGGGATTAAAGCAGGAGTTGAGAGGCTGGGTTTGAGCTCAGCACACTCCAAAGCCCTTTGCTACCTGGAGTAACTGCAGAGTAAAGCCTGCACCCCCTGTGACCCAGCCACAGCAGCGGGGTTTGGTGCTATAGGGTGAGCCCAGCTCCTTGTGGGGGCCAGGACCTCCCTCCCTGCTGGGGAAGGACTCCCCAGACCCTGCTCCCCTTTGGAATGGAGCTTTTCCACGGGGCTGGGGGCTGGGAAGGGGATTGCAAACGTTAAATTTGGAGTTTAAACTGCCTGGAAGAAACGCTCAGGGCTGGGAGGTTGGGATGGTGCTCTCAGCACATGCTGGGGGTCTGGAGAGCCCTGCAGGTGCTTCCTGCAAATCTCCTGTTCCTCCTTGGAGAGAGGAGATGTGGCAGCGTTTTGGAGGAGAGAGAAGCTCCAGGAGCTTCACACACAGAGGGGACAGGGGAGCAGCAGGAATTGTCCGTGGTGGAGCCGTGGAGAGCTGTCCGTCTGTCCCGGGGCGTGGGAAAGCTGCAGCCTCGGGGCAGCAGGGCTGTGGGGCTCTGCTGGGTTCCCACACTCTGCTCCCAGCCCCGCCTGTGCCTCGGGGTGTTCCTGCCTTGCAGCTCCAGGCCTGGCTCCAGCAGCCCTGCTGAGCCACAGCTGCTCCCCGGGATGGCCGTGTGTCCTCAGGTGACAGCCGGACCTTGTGTGGCCTCTCCCGGCTCCTGGGATGGCCAGCCTTCCTTGGGGTGACAGCTGGACCTCGTGTGGCAGCTCCTGGGATGGCCAGGCTTCCTCGGGGTGACAGCCAGACCTTGTGTGGCAGCTCCTGGGCTAGGCAGCCTTCCTTGGGGTGACAGCTGGACCTCGTGTGGCAGCTCCTGGGATGGCCAGGCTTCCTCGGGGTGACAGCCAGACCTTGTGTGGCATCTCCCGGCTCCTGGGATGGCCAGCCTTCCTTGGGGTGACAGCTGGGCCTTGTGTGGCCTCTCCCAGCTCCTGGGATGGCCAGGCTGGGGTGGTCCTTGGGGTGACAGCTGGACCTTGTGTGGCAGCTCCTGGTCCCTTGAATGCTGGTCCTTGTGTGGCAGCTCCTGGGATGGCCAGCCTTCCTTGGGGTGACAGCTGGACCTTGTGTGGCAGTTCCAGGCTCCTGGGATGGCCAGGCTGGGGTGGTCCTTGGGGTGACATCTGGACCTTGTGTGGCAGCTCCTGGGATGGCCAGGCTTCCTTGGGGTGACAGCTGGACCTTGTGTGACAGCTCCTGGTCCCCTGGGTGTCCATCCCTCCTCGGGTCCCTGGATGTCCATTCCTCCTCAGGTGACAGCCAGACCTCGTGTGACAGCCCCTGGTCCCCTGGATGTCCATCCCTCCTCGGGTGACAGCCAGACCTTGCCCAGCAGCTCCTGGCCCCTCCCTGGAGCAGCCCAGCTCTGCAGCGAGCTCATTCCCTGTGAGCCTCTGGCACTGCACAGACCACGTCAATAAACAGAAAAAGTCCAAAACTCCTGTTTTTATAATGCTGATGCCCTCAGGGCTCCGTGCCGTTGGCACAATCTGCAGGATGGTTTTTCCATCCCTGCGTCCTTGGCTTTCCCGGGAGGGAACGTGGTGATGTCTGGGCAGTGACAAAGGAGCTGTCATTGAGAAAAGGTGTTTTCTGCTCGCTGCCAGCTGGAATTCCTGCCTGCAGCGAGGCAGTGGGATGGTCCCGGTGACTCAGCCCCGTGAGTCAGCGCTGCCCCGCTCCCTGGCAGATTGGATGCTGGATTCCAGCATCCTGCACTTCTGGCCCTGCTCCAAGGAGAAGGAGGCTGGACCTTTCTTCTGGTGTCGGGAGAAGGACTTGTCACACACAGCAAGGGAAAAATCTGAGCATTTTCCAGGCAGATTCTTTGGATTCTGGGTTAAACCTGGGAGTGTGACACAGAATTCACAGAATCACAGAATTCACAGGGTTGGAAGAGACCTCCAAGATCATGGAGTCCAGCCCAGCCCCAGCACCCCAACTCAACCCTGGCCCCCAGTGCCACATCCAGGTTTGTTAAACACACCCAGGGGATGGGGACTGCAGCACCTCCCTGGGCAGCCATTCCAGAACTTTATCCCCCTTTCTGGAAAATACTTTTTCGTGATATCCAGCCTGAATTTCCCTTGGTGCAGCTGCAGGCTGTGTGCTCTGGTTGTGTCAGTGGTGCTGGAGAAAGAGCCCAGCCCAGCTGAGCACAGGCACCTTTCAGAGCTGTGCAGAGTGAGGAGGGCACCCCTGAGTCTCCTTTTCTCCAGGTGAGCACCCCCAGCTCCCTCAGTGCTTCCTGACAGGGTTTGTGTTCCCAGCCCCTCTCCAGCCTCCTTGCCTCCTCTGGACATGTTCCAGCATCTCAGTGTCCTTCCCAAACTGAGGGCCCCAAAACTGGACCCCTGCTCAGGTTGGTTCTTCCCTTAGAACAGATGAATTCTCTCCAAGAATTGTTTATTTTGCAGAAACCCCTCCTGCAGCTGAGGAATTCACCCCCAGCCAGGTGCAGGTGCTGCCCACGTGGACACCTCGCTGCAGCCTGGAGAGCCGGAGCTGCCTCCAGTGCAGGATCCTGGGGGTTATTTTTAGAGAGGACTCACACTTGGAGAGGGCTGAAATGTGCTGTCCTCACCAGAAAGGGTGCAAAAAATAGATCAGGGCATTGTTCATTTCTGGTGACAAATGCTATTTCAGCTGCTGTGGGAAGACAGCAGAAGAGGTATCTGTGGGGTCCTGCTCCAAGGGGAAAGGGGCTGGAGCTCTCCTGGGCAGGAGCAGGACTTGTCACACACAGGGACAAAGAATATTTCCATTTTCTAAATGTTTTCTTTGTGTTTCTGAGGGGCTGAAAGGAAATCATGACAAACCTCGGACAAAGAATATTTCCATTTTCTAAATGTTTTGTTTGTGTTTCTGAGGGGCTGAAAGGAAATCATGACAAATCTCCATCATGGAATGCTTTGGGTTGGAAAGGCCCTTAAAGTTCATCCAGTTCTGCCCCCTGCCATGGCAGGGACACCTCCCACTGTTCCCAGGGTGCTCCAGCCTGGCCTTGGGCAGTGCCAGGGATCCAGGGGCAGCCACAGCTGCTCTGGGCATTCTATTCCAGGGCCTGCCCACCCTCCCAGCCAGGAATTCCTTCCCAGTATCCCATCCAGCCCTGCCCTCTGGCAGTGGGAGCCATTCCCTGTGTCCTGTCCCTCCATGCCTTGTCCCCAGTCTCTCTCCAGCTTCCTGAAGCAGCTGAGGCTGAGGGCTGTGGGAGAGCCCAGGAATGTGCACTTACCTTACAATTACCACAATTATGTTCTCAAGGAGGTGATCTTGGGAATAATTTCCTTACCTGAGAGTATCTTAAGTGGAGACTGTGAAATCTTTCAGCCCTGGGGGTGGGAAGCAGGCTCAGGTGTTCAGGACAGTCCTTACCTGTGCCCACGTGGGAGCCCTCTCCCCAGCCAAAGGAGCACACCCAGGGCTTCTCTCTCCATCAGCTTGGCTTGGCTGAGGCCCAGCATGCTCCTGCTCCCAGGTATCTCAGGAATTCCCACTCCTCCATCCCAAAATGACCGTGTGGCCTTTCCGTCACGAGCACGGCGACGCTGCCAACAATCTCCCAGACAGAGGAGGCCAGGCAGAATTTGAGGGGGAGTGATATTTTTTTTAAGTGAAAATGTCGTGATTTTTTCCTTTTCCATCAATTTTTCTTTCTTGTCTTGAGCAGAAGCTGGAGCCTTGGCCCAGCAGTACCTCGAGAGAGGCCTCCTGGTGCCTGACCACGTCATCACGCGCGTCATGATGGCCGAGCTGGAGAAGCGGAGGGAGCAGCACTGGCTGCTCGATGGTGAGTCCAGAGGGGGAAATCCCAGCTCCCTTGGGACATTCCTTTGTTGCCCATGGTTTGGCAGCCCCAGGAGAGAGGAAAGCCAGGAGGTGGAGGTGGGAGGAGAGGCAGGAGCTGACCTGCTGGCAGGAACGTTTCCCGCTGGCCTCGGCACGTGCGTGTCCAGCTGAGCTCTTGGCACGTGGCCGGGAAAGGGAAGGGCAGGGAGAGGAGCTGGGTGTTCCACAAAGCAGGGCAGGGCTGGAGACATGCCAGGAAAAACTTCTTCCCTCCTTCACATGTGTGTGTGTGTGAAGCAGCTCCTCAATCCCAGCCCAAAAGCCACCTGAGGTGGAGGGATGGGAGATGCTGAGGGCAAAGATGCACGGCCTGGGGTTCCTGGCCATGGAATGAGAATCAGAGAATCCCAGAGTGGTTTGGATTGGGTGAGACCTTAAAGCTCATCCAGTGCCACCCCTGCCATGGCAGGAACACCTTCCATTATCCCAGGCTGCTCCCTCCTGGCCTTGGACACTTCCAGGGATGCGACAGCCACAGCTGCTCTGGGCACCCAGTGCCAGGGCCTGCCCACCCTCCCAGGGAGCAATTCCTTCCCAATCTCCCATCCATCCCTGCCTTCTGGCAGTGGGAGCCATTCCCTGTGTCCTGTCCCTCCAGGTCCTTGTAAAAGATCTCTCTCCATCTTTCTTGTGGGCTCCCTTCAGGTCTTTGAAGTCCCTTCCTATCCAAACCATCTGGGATTGTGGAATTCTCTGCTCCAGCTGCTCACTGGCTGTCCCAAGGAGGACAGGACTGTTTCACTGCAATCTCCTTGATGCCCTCCCCATCAGCCAGCAGTTTGTCCCCAGTCTGTGCTCAGCACTCTGTGCTGTCCCTTCACATTTCCCCCCACCATTCCAGCACTCATCCCTGCTCCGCCATTGCCTGTGTCCCCCTGCCTGCCCCCAGCCCCGTGCAGGGACAGCAGCCACCACCCTGAGCCCCGGGTGTCACATTTCGGGAGCTGCTGTGCTGCAAGAGCTATTTTTTCTCGGAGCCATATGGCGTGTCTGCCTCTCGCACGGCCTGTGCCGCAGCGCCGCGCCCGAGGGATGGCTTTGGCTCCATCCTCGCTGCTTCCCAGCCTCTCATTCCCGTCCCTGTGCCGGGCCCGCCCAGGTTTCCCTCGGACGCTGGGGCAGGCCAAGGCTCTGGATGGGATCTGCGAGCTGGACCTGGTGATCAGCCTGAACATCCCCTTCGAGACGCTGAAGGATCGCCTGAGCGCCCGCTGGGTGCACCCCGCCAGCGGCCGGGTCTACAACATGGACTTCAACCCTCCCCAGACCCGGGTAAGAGCCCCAGAGCCGCCTGGAGCCCCCCACAGAAGGGAAAGCCGGGAGAAGGTGCTTTTCTCTGCAGGAGCTGGGATGCTGAGGGAGCTCTGGGGGGGCGATCCTGGGTGGAAGGGCTGAGCGCTGTGGGGAATTGTGCTAAATGTTCTGAGGGATTGTGCTAAACTTTCCTGAGGGATTGTGCTAAACCTTCTGAGGAATTGTTCTGAGGAATTGTGCTAAACTTTCCTGAGGAGTTGTGCTAAACTTTCCTGAGGGATTATACTAAACTTTCCTGAGGGATTGTGCTCAGCTTTCCTGAGGAAAGCAGGATTCATGCAGACAGTGAAGGCTGCCCTGGAGCAGAGGCTGGCCAGAGCTCCAGAATAAAGCAGGGATTGATTCAAGGATCTCCTCCATGGATGCACCTTGGGCAGCACAAGAGCCCAGCCAGGGCTGCACCCAGGATGAACCCAAATGGTCCCAAAATGCACGAGCGCTCCCGGGGTCTCTCCCTGGGATCAGCTCTGCTCCATGTGCACATTGCAGTTCAGTGTCCAATTCCAGCTCAGCCCCTGCACTCCCATCCTGCTTGTTTTTCTCTCTGCAGCCCACGGGGTTTGTGCTCCTGGGCTGAGATTTGGATCATTTGTCCTTGGTGCCCAGCTGGAGCAGGAATTGTTTTGTCTCCCTGCTCTGTGCACAGAGCTCACCATCCCCTCATGTGAAGCCAGACCCACACACTAAAGCAGCTCAGAGTCTGAGAATAGAAAACCCAAAACCTGAGGCATCCCCAGAAGGAGGCATGTGGCAGCTGCAGGGTGGGTGACAGGGTGGATGAGGTCCCCTCAGGGGTGTGCTCTGTGTCCCCTCAGGGTGTGGATGACCTGACCGGAGAGCCGCTGGTGCAGCGCGAGGACGACAGGCCCGAGGCCGTGGCTGCGCGCCTCAGGAAGTACAAAGATGCTGCCAAGCCCGTGATAGAGCTCTACAAGTGAGTTGGGCATGAGCAGAAAGCCCAGCAGGGCTCTCAGAACGGCCACCAGGGCTCTTGTGCCGTGCCCACATCACAAAGAGCCCTGGCAGATTTTTGGGCCAAGCCCTGAGCCTGGACAGGGCGTCCCTGGGAGGGAGGAGGGCGATCCAGAGAAATCCCCAGCTCTTGGTGGTCCTGCTGGGCTCATCCCATGGGAGGGGGATTTTGGCCTAGATCCAGGTGGGACATGCCATGAAAAATCCACCCAGGGCACCGAGGGGTTTGGGTGAAGCACAGGGAGTTTGGCAAGAGGGCAGGAGAAGGGAGCTCAGAGGGATCTGCTGGGAGCACAGGGGGGTTCCAGGGCTTGTTCCCCTTGTGGGGCTGCTGTTCCCTGGAACTGTGGGGCTGCTGTTCTCTGGAATTGTGGGGCTGCTGTCCCTGTGGGGCTGCTGTCCCTGGAACTGGGGGGCTGCTGTTCCCTGGAACTGTGGGGCTGTTGTCCCTGGAGCTGGGGGGCTGCTGTTCCCTGGAATTGTGGTGCAGTGTTCCCTGGAATTGTGGGGCTGCTGTCCCTGTGGGGCTGCTGTTCCCTGGAGCTGGGGTGCTGCTATTCCCTGGCCACTTTGGGAATGCTGGATTGCTGCAGGGTGGGAAATGTGCTGCTCAAAGGGAGTAGAAGCCCAGGAGTCTTTTTAAGCACATGGGGGGCGAAAATTGCCCTTGCAGGGAAAGGGGGAGAACTGCAGAATCCCAAAATGGTTTGGGTTGGAAGGGACCTTAAAGCCCACCCCATTCCATCCCCTGCCTTGGGCAGGGACACCTCCATATCCCCAGGGTGCTCCAAGCCCTGTCCAAGCTGCCTTGGTTGCGATGGGCTCCTCCTGACTTCTCCCACCTTTTTTCCAGGAGCAGGGGCATCCTTCACTCCTTCTCTGGCACAGAGACCAACAAGATCTGGCCCTACGTGTACACCCTGCTGTCCAGCAGGATCCCACCCATCCTCTCGGACGAGGAGCACTAACCAGCTCGTGCCAAGCACCAGGACTTCATCCCATCCTGGATTTGGTTCCCAGTGCAGTGCCAGGGCTGTGCTGGGCTCGGGTGGTCATGGCTGGGTGACATTGCTGGGTACCAGTTACAGCCAGGATCAGATCTTTGTTTAGAAGGTCAAGTCTGCTGGAATAAGGGGTTTTTTTCCCTCTTTTGGGGCTATGGAGCTTTCCTGCCCGTGGTCCATGCCGGATTGGTGGTGCTGACTGGGGCATTGGTCATTCCAGGTTTACACAGCTTTGCCATGGTGTCCTTGCCATCCCTTTCCAGCCCCAATCCCTGGCTGAGCCCACACGTGCCATCCTGTTGCTCCACAGGACTGTTTACTGCTGAGGACTCTCTAGGCTAAGGTGGTTTTTTTTTCTATAAATTATTTTCTATTAAATGTATTTCTCAGAGAAATAAAGCTCTAGAAAGCAACACTTAGCCCAGTGGGAATTTTGGGAGCAACATGGAAAACGTGTGTACTACAGAGCTGAGAGATGTGATGCTCACATTTCCAGCAGGAAAACACAGAAAAGAAGCAAAACCTTGGAAGTGAAACTCTCCCTTGTACTCCTTCCATGGGGAGAGCTGAATTCCCTGCTGGAAAAAGCTGCTGTACAGGTTTTTATGGAATGCTGTGACACTCAGCACGACCTGGGCTGGGGATGAGTTGCACTCCCTTGTGCTTTCCTGGTTTATAGCTTTCAATACCACAAGATAGCAAAGTCCTAAGAGTTTCTCCCAAAGATTTATCTCCACGTGGGCTTCAGTTTTGGGGAGAAATCTTCAGTTCCATCTTCTGTGCTGCCTTTGTCCCCGAGGTCCCCTGGCCAGGGGGTCCCTTCAGCTGCTCCTGCTGCATCCCCCAGCAAAGTGACTCCCTCCTCATGAAATCCCAGAGATCCTTCCTTCCTTGGGATGCACCCAGGGCCATGCCCAGGTGTTTTCCCAAGATTTACAGCATCCTTGGATTGTGCTGGGGCTGGGCTTTTCCCAACTGGAAGTACTGTCACTCTCTTTCTGCAGGAGGCAGAACCCGAGCCATGGGGACAATTCCGGCCTCCTCGAGTTGCCTTATTTTATAAACTACATATTTCAGAAAAAGAGAGAAAATAAAAGCAAGATGTGTGTTTGTAAAGGTTTAAAGCGAACAAACATACAAAAAGTGCTGAATTTTAGCATCACCTTTTGGGAATTGTGCATGGAGCTGCTGGATCTGCAGGGAATTCTGCTTCTGCCCGTGGGTCTCACAGGAGGGCAGGAACCTGGCACTGCCTGGCACCTCTTGGGTTAACCTGGGCACTTTTCTGCTGCTGGATTTCTCTGGGTTTAGTTTTCCTTTATTTTCCCTGTGGCCCACAGCAGGGAAAGGGGAATGACCAGATTTTTTAGGGATTTTTTTCCAGGTGTGAAACTCCAGCTCCTGCCCGGGTTGATTTATCCCAGCTGAGCATCCTCGTGCTGTCCAAGATCCCCTAAAATTTTCTTCATCCTGGTGCTCTCCCCAGTGGAGCCAGAGTGGGATCACTGCCCACATCCCCCTGCTCACCCCTGCCTGGGGAGAGGCCACAGTGCTCCCACCTGCCCCAGGTGGGAATTTTCCAGGTGGGAACAAAGGGATTGCTGTCCCACGAGGCCTTTCCATGCCCTGGTGCTGGGAGGCTGCAAATCTTCCAGCTGGCAACGAAAGCCTGTTTCAGAAAGATTTGGGATTTTCCCACAGCCCTGGGATGAAGGTCTGGGCTGGTTTTAGACACAAATCCCGAAACAGCCAAAACCTGTGTGCTGCTTTCTTTGGAACAGCTTTGGGCAGGAGGGCAGGAGGTTTTAGGGGGTTTTTTTAGGCTATAAAAGCAGCTGAGTGCCAGGCAGAAGGGCTGATCCCTGCTTTACCTTCTCCTGTCCTTGTGTCCTGTTCTTTCCTCCTGCAAAATTCCTCCTGAAGAGAATTCCATGCAGCCCAGCACAGGACAGGTCTGCAGATGCCTTTTCCAGGCTTGGAGCCCTATAGTGGGTGTAGAAATCCCGTGGCTGTGCATGCATCCAGCCCTCGGGATGGAATTTTCTACCAGACCTGTTGCATTTTCCGAGACCAAATTCCAGCAGGGAATTTGTCCCTCGCTGTGCATCCCTGCCGTGCTCCCCTTCGGTATTTTACTGTGAACCCCAAACCTTTTGTAAAGCCACAGCAATTTTGTACCGACCCGAGATACTGTGTGGAGGGAGGAGCCTCTCTCCCCCCCCCTGGAATGTCACGCCGAGTTTGCTTCCCGGAGTTTTCTTCCCGGAGTTTTCTTCCCGGTGAATCGCTGCAGCTGTGTTACTGCTCTCGAGATGTAAATAAAGATTTTCTCCTGCTGATCCCTGTGCTGGCAGAGTCTGTGTGGGTTGTGCCTTGCCAAGGCAGCAGGGCAGTGTGGACCTGGAGTTGCTTTGTAGGAGCTGGGGAGGAGGAAGAGGAGAGGGGAAGAAGATGAAGCAGAGCATCCCTGTCTGAAGGTGGCTTTGTATTTGGACACAGCGCAGCTCTTTGGGTCCTTTATCTGATATAATCCAAAATATCGGTTAAAAAGCCAGTTTGGATGCAGCCATTTGTTTCAGCCCCCCATCCTTATCCCAGAATCCCAGCCTGGTTTGGGCTGGGAGGGTCCTCAAAGCCCATCTCAAAACACCCTCCCTGCACATCAAGTGGTTTTAATTTCCTTTTTTTTAACTTCTCCCTGATAAAAATCCCGCAGAGCAGTAGGACAGGGAGGCTCTGGCTGTGTCCTGTGCCCCGGCTAATCCATCACGAGTGCTGGGAACTGGGAATTGGGAACTGAGCTCCCGGAGCTGCAGTGCCTCCTCCCAGTGCCACCAGTTCTCTCGTCGCTGTCATTCCCGAATAACAGCTCGGGGCACTCCCAGTTTGGAGTGAGCAGAGCCTCGGGAATGATCGGAGAGTGGGAAAACAAGGTGATAAGCCGGGAATCTGCTGCCGGGGAGCTGGGGGAGAGCCCCAGCCGGCGGGGGGGATGTCGCGATTCAGGGTCGTGACAATCCGGAGGCGGAGCGGGGATGTGCGGGCAGAGAAATCCGAGGGGGAAAAATATCAGCGCAAGCTGGAATATGAACTCAGTCTGAAAACAAAAGCTGGGAGGCCAAAAAAGCAAAGGAATGTGAGCCAAAATCCAGCTGGGATCAAAGGCTTGGCTTCCCCCGAGTGCCACCGGGGGAGCTGGGAGGGCACAGGGGACACGTCCCCACCCTAGAGCCTGACCTCAGCCCCGGCTGGAACGGAAAGCAAAAGGAAACGGCCTCGAATTGCACCAGGGGAGGCTCAGGTTGGATGTTTGGGAAAATTTCTTCGTGGAAAGGGTTGTCCAGCCCTGGATGGATGAGTACTAATCCCTAGAGAGATTTAAAATCCCTGTGGATGTGACACTTAGGGACACGGGGCAGTGGTGGCCTTGGCAGTGCTGGGCTCGATGATCTGAGAGGATTTTTCCAGCCCGAACGATTCCATGATTCCAAATATTTGTTTACAGCGTCACTGAAGTGTTTGTCTGCCTGGTACCCAGGGAAGTGCCCCAGGTGTGCCTGGATCAGCCTCATTCCCGGGGCTGCAGAGCTTGGACAAGTGACATCCCTGCTGAGTCCATCCAGCAGCATTTAGCATTCTCCAGAAAAAAAGAAAAAAAAATTAAGGAAAAGGAAAAAGAAAAAAAAGAAAAAAGAAAAAGAAAAAAAAGAAAAAAGAAAAAGAAAAAAAAGAAAAAAGAAAAAGAAAAAAAAGAAAAAAGAAAAAGAAAAAAAAGAAAAAAGAAAAAGAAAAAAAAGAAAAAAGAAAAAGAAAAAAAAGAAAAAAGAAAAAGAAAAAAAAGAAAAAAGAAAAAGAAAAAAAAGAAAAAAGAAAAAGAAAAAAAAGAAAAAAGAAAAAGAAAAAAAAGAAAAAAGAAAAAGAAAAAAAAGAAAAAAGAAAAAGAAAAAAAAGAAAAAAGAAAAAGAAAAAAAAGAAAAAAGAAAAAGAAAAAAAAGAAAAAAGAAAAAGAAAAAAAAAGAGAAAAAAAATAGCAAGGGAGAAAAATTAAAAGCATCCAGTCAAGGGAAAGAAAAAAAAAATTAAAGGAAAACAAACAAAAAAACCCTGCTGAGGTTCGCGCTGCAGACTCCGGATCCCACTCCAGGCCACATTTTAGACGGTGTGATATGTCTGCCTCCATCCCCATCCTTCCCTGAGTGTCTGTAATCCCAAAAATAACCCGGGAGCGGCACGCAGCTCGGCGGCAGCAGCGCCCCGGGCGGGCCGGGAGCGGCCCCGCCGCCGGTGCCGGGCGGAGGAGCGGAGGAGCGGAGTGCGGGACACGGACACACGGACACGGCGTGCGGGACACGGACACGGCGTGCGGGACACGGACACGGCGTGCGGGACACGGCCGCGCTCACTGCGCTCCCCGCAGCCCCGGCAGCCGCAGCATGCACGGGCCCGAGCAGCAAGGTAAGGAAAAGCTCCCCCCGGAGCTGATGGAAAAGCGGAGAGAGGGGCGGCGAGAAAATGGGGGGGTGCCGCGCAGGGCGCGTTTGTGCTGAGTAATTGGGGAAGGCAGGCTGGCATCCCGGCACGGGGAGAATTCCCGGCTTTGCGGGAGGTTATGTAACGGGGCACAGGGAAGGGAGAGCGCCCGGAGATGCTGGGCCGGGCAGGGAAGGCCAGGAGCCGGGATTTGGGGATGTGCGCCTGGCCGCGGAGGGTCGGACAGCCCCGGGCTGCGCCGGCCCCGCGGTGCCGGGCAGGAGCACGGCCGGCTCTTCCCGCACCCCGAAATTGGGGGCTGAGCTTTCAGGGCTGCCCGGGAGCTCTGCGGCCGTGCTGAATGAAAAGAAGGGGATTTTCCGGCTTAAAATAATAAGCGTGGCTTCTCTGCGGCCGGAGCCGGAGCGGCTGCAGGAGGGGCATTGGCGGCGATGCCAGCGCACAAACGCTGCCATCCAATGCTGATCCCGGCCTTTCCCTGCCAATCCAGCGGGAAGCTGACCTTCAACCCCTCCCTCTGCTATGCCGAGGCAAACACAGGGCTGCATCGCCTTTAAAAAAATAAAAAGAATCCTACTTCGGGCCAAAAAACCAGCTGAAATCCGTAGATAAATGCGGATATCGCTGCCTCGGCTCCGGCGCTGCTGAGGCAGCCCCGGGAGGGGACGGCGGTGCCGGGGCTCCCCACGGCTCCAGGTAGGTGTTTATCCCCCGAGGCTGGAAAACAGCCCATAATTCCCGTCTGGCTGCTGTGTTTGTGCCTGTCATTATCATAGTCTTGTTTTGGATACTACCAGGGAGAGGAGGAGGAAGGAGGAGAGGGAGAAAGAGGAGGAGGAGGAGGAGGAGGATGAGGAATGTTTTGGGCAAACCTTCAGGTCTGCAAACTCCCGACTTTATTCTCCCTCCAGGGCCTCCATCTTCTGCTATCCCTCCAAATGTGGATTTCTCTTAGTCATAGCCTTCCCTGACAAGAGAGGAAAAAAAAAAAAAATTAAATAAAATAAATGCCATCAAGGCAGCGTACGGAGCGATTCCGGCGGCACAGGCGGCGTGACGGCAACACCGGTGCCTCTAAATTTAGGCAGCCGTGGCACAGCCGCCTTGTTTGCATCCCGGGAACGCTCCCGGCCGAGGGATGCAGCATTTCGGAGAGGCTGCAGCCCTTAAGGAGGCACCGGGCTTGTCCTTGAGCCGGGCTCTTGGCAGCGCCGGTGCTGAATTGCTGACCCAACTGATCCCCGGCGCAGCCTAATCCCGGCCCGAGCCGCAGGTTTGGGGCAGGATTTGCTCCCATCCCTCCTGCTCCGCTGGGAAAAGGTGCAGGGGGTGCTTGGGGAAGGCAGGTGATGGATTGCAGGGGGAGAGCCTGGGAGCCGGGGGTGTCAGGCACGTTTTGGGGTGGGAGTTGGGGTTTTGGGGCTCAACCTCTCCAAGCACATGCCCGGCTCTGCTCAGGGGCTGGAATTCCCCTTGGGGTGGGAATTGGGATTGTCACCGCTGCAGGGATGTGGCAAAGGATGCAACTCATCCATGGCAAACATCCCGATTCAGAGGGGTGGCTGCTCCTCTCCCTGAATCCCCAAATCATCCAGGTGGGAAAAGCCCTCTGAGATCATCGAGTCCAACCATTAATCCAGCTCTGCCCGAGCTCCAGGGATCAGGAAACCACTAAAAATCACTAGAGATGACCACAGATCCCAGATTTTTGGGAACACGGACTGGAAATTTCAGAATTCTGTGGATGTAGCAGGCAGAGATGCTGTAATTCCCATAAAAATCAGATTATGGATGGTTCTTCAGTGGTGCACAAAGAAGCCGTGGGAAACTCTCCAATTAAAGTGCCATAAATAGGAATTTATTATTTATATGAAATTATAAATAATTAATGGTTCCCACTAATAATTCTACGATAATGTTTTTACAAGAGGTTTAGTATTTTATTACAATTTTAAATATTATTATACCAAATTAGAAACCGTATTTTATGAGCTCTTGCAGTCCCAAAAGTGGACGAGTCCCTGTTCGATGGACACAAACAACATATGGATTTCTTTCTCTTGAATAACTCCTTGTCTTCAGCAGCCAGAAATAATAAGGATGGGAATTTAGATCCCTGAATTAAGGCTGGGAAAGGGAGAGATGGAAAAATTGGGGGTGCAGGTAGACTGAGACCAGGGGCAGGATTTGCTCCAAATCCTCTGAAATGGAACTTTTGCCATGCAGGAAAATTTGAATTTATTCCCTTTGCCAGATCACTATTGGAAGCAAAAAAGAAATGATCCTAAAAACCGTTTGAATTCCTTTTCCAAGGGAGAGTTTTCATGGAAAACTTTGCAGGAAGAGCAGGATGCTCTCATCCAGTAGAGGTTTCCATGGTGTCTGTGAGGGGTGGGGTGCACCAGGCTCTCCTCCCATTCCCTCCTGGCATTCCTTCCCCCCCCTGCCAGCTTTGGGAAGGTTTTGGATCCCCACAGAGCTCCCACTGAATTATTTCAGAGCCACGTGGCTCAGAGCTGAGTCAGCACTCTCCAGCTCTGTGCCCACAGGGTTTTCCATGGATTTGGGTCTTGGGGACATCCCAGGAGAGCATTCCCAGCGGGGTGACCCTGAGGAACCCACCCAGTGCTGAAGGGGGTTTGTCACCTGTCCTGGTGGAAAGGGACACCAGGAGAAGGGAGAGGGACAATGCCAGCCTGATCCCTGATAAAATTTTAGAATATTTTATATCAGCCAGAGTAGCAAATCTTTAATAATATCTTTTTTTTTGTTAGTTTTAGGTAAAAACCTAAATTCTGGCAGAAGGTAGAACCACATTAATGGGGTTGTGTTGTTTCTGGCCAACTTT